CATCATCGTCGTAGTTGTTGATGATGATTTGAGGCACACGTCTCAATTATTCTATTATCATTATAATTATTACAATGTATACAATCCAATTTGCATCTGTCGACCTGTCATCGTTTAACAATAATTCAAAGCAGTTGGTTTGTTTCGTTATGCAATTGTTTAATTACAGAAGAAATAATAACAACAAAAACAAAGAGAGATAGTTCACTCTTCTTTTCGTTGAGGTGAGGTGTTGTGTTATTCGAGAATAATTCGTCCATCCTTATGGATCTTCGCGTTACATTGCATAATAACAAGTGAGCGACGTGAGTGCGTATTGTCGAGTGGGGCGCACTTCTTTTTTTCTTCTTTTCTTTTGCTAGTTGCGAGGGACATGGAGGAGGAAGGTGGGTTGAGTGAGAGGGGGTCTTCGCACGCACGCACGCACGCACGCATGCATGCACGGACAATGGATAACCGGAATGCCTTGTAATATACGCAACGTGTGTAATGCGTTCCTCTTGTTTCTTTTCAATTGCGTTTCTGGCAGTTGCCGTTTCTCTACCATCTCACTCTCTTCATTCTCTTCTCGCTGCTGCTGCTGTTGCTGTTGTCGTTCTTCTTTTTCCTCCTCCTCCTCTTTCTTCTTCTTCTCCTCTTCGTAACTGACCCCAGACACTGGTAGTCCAGTTGTCGACGGTGCAGACTCACCACCGCCTTTCGCGAAAAAAAAAAAAAGTACTGCAGGCAGTCAGCAGCGGCAAAACGAGAAAATAACGCGAGGGGGGAACCGCTTTTGCTTCCTTCCTTCTTTGTTTGCATTGCTTGTTTTATTTGCATTCTCGCCCAGCCAACGCTAAAGAGAACGAACCGATGTTGCTGCTGTTGCCGTTACAGTTATTCAAGTTTGCTACAGCAATAACAATAATATGATAATAATAACAGCAGCAGTAGAAACAATAAGAGAGGAGAGTAGTAGAATGGAGGAAGAATTTTTCGAAGATATCGATTATGAAAGGAATACGAAGGCTACTGCGGTGAAGGAGGAGGTGGAGGTTCGCGGTTTGCAATCAGCGGAAGAAACAACATTCTAACTGGCCGTCCTCCGCTACTCAACGCGGTTTTCGTCGCGACCGACGAAGGCATTTTAATTAATTAAACATAATACCCATCCCTCCTCTCCAAATCGTACTAAACGTACTTTTCTCTCGTTAACGCTGCAACCCAATCACCACCAACAAACAACATTCTAATGTTTACAACTTGTAAATATTGTCTATTCATGAAATAAGTGATGATGCATATTTCGTGAATCCAGGCATCCATCATCGGGGCGGGCGGATGGAAAGCATCTGCGAATGCTATTGCCATGGTTACACCATCGCTCCATTACCTTCGCCGCGCGCGTTTTGTCATCGTCATGGTTACTAAATCTTCTCTTTCGTTTGTTTGTTTGTTTCGATGGTAAATAAGCGGAGACTATAGCAACGTCAACAGAAGTAATTGATGGCGAGTTAGATCATCGATCAAAATCATCGTTGGTAACTTTAAATTCTCGTTCGTTGCGTTGCTGCGTTGTTATTTACTAAAACTAACTATGCAGCTCGTTCCTCTTCGCCGATCTTCCCATTACAATAACGTTGCATTTAATTAGTGAATCAAATGGTGCCTTCTCCACCTCCTCATGTTCTTCTTGTGCGCGCACAGAAAACCAACCAATTACCTGGGGCGATGTTGCACGTTTTACAGAAGGCAAACGTTCGATGATGATGATGATTCGATTCTTTATAATTGTTTGTTTGCAATGGAAATGGAATTCCGGAAACGGTGAATTAAAAGTGTGACTGCAATATTTATTTATGTTTCGGTCACGTGTCGCCGGTTGTTGGCGTATTCGATGCGCGTTTGTTTATTATTTGCAAGACTTCCTGTCGTCGTCGCCTCCTTCGTGCCCATCCTCTATTCTCTATTCTGTTTTGTTATTGCTTCTGCCGCCACCGCCATCGCCGTCGTTGCTACTGCTTATATGATAATGTTAAAGTTTGTTTGCTCGCTCGCAAGAAGAAAGTGAAAATTGTTTGGATTACCAAATACCCCGAATCCAAACAATTTTCACTTGCTTCCTTCCGTTGCTTCCGTTCAAGAGAATCATCAGACTCGTTCGTTGCCAACTTTATTATGGAAATGGGCAAACGGCAATTAAAGCTAATTGCTGTGAGCTGAGAAGAACTGAGAACGGAGAAGAGAAACGATAATTATTGCACGCTACGCGCTGCTCCCTCCGCTCAATTGTTAACTTCAAACGTTTCAGAGACGCCCGCGCTCTTAATATCATCGCCAGCTATTATTTTTCCCCCCATTAATCACGGTAAATTAAACAAAACAAAAAACAAAATGAAGCAAGAATCATCGCGTTTCGTTTGTTTGCCATTAATCCCACTCGATTCGCACTCGCATTTGATTAATGTTTCTGTACCTCTCGCAATATTTTCTCACTTTTCGCATTCCATATCTGTATATATGTGTGTGTGTGTTATTATTCCAGAACATAATTACGTAATTAATTTCTTCGCTCTCGGCTTCATGCATCCCCGAGCGCTCGCGCCGAGCAAAAAACTAATTAGAATTTATAATATTCTAGCAAAAATCAAAAAATTAAAAAGCAAAAGCAACGAACTAAAGGTAAAATATTCTAATAATTTGCAACGATTCGAGCTTGTTTTCGCCCGGCGCATCCACCTTTTTTTTCCATTTTGCCTTTGGTGAGATCATCGCCATGACGACCGCGCTTTGAAAAATAAGCTGTGAAGCGTGGAATTAGGAGTTGACGAAATAACATAAAGTCAACTTTACATAGCAAGTTGTGGTTGTGGCGTGAATATGAATTTGGAACCACGAAGGGAAAGTTTTCTAATTTTCGGTGTTGGATCCACACGCATAATAAGTGGGAATGAGGATGAGGAGGAGGAGGGGAGATGTAAATAATCGAATCCTCCGGATAAGCTTAAAACGCCATTTCCGATCAGTACGTTCAGTTTTAGAACAGGGGTTGTGTGTGTTTGCGTGCCTTTTTTTTCTTCTGCTAGTTGATAACGGTTAAATCCTTTTGTGACATATAGTCGAATTAGTAGACGACGGATTACAGCAAGGATCTTTTGGGTTGTGCTGTTGTCGTCCTCTCGGATGTTGTATCAGCCGTCTTTGATATCTGTCTGTTCGAAATGCGTCGTCTTTCCCTTTTCGTTCCTCCTGGTTTTTACGGTTTATGCTTGAAATCAAATGAAAGTCACGTCGGCTCGTTAAAAAGGACCGCAGTAACACAGTTTTATTATTCGATCCTCGAATTGCCTTCTCTTCCTCCAAGGATAATTTAGACGAGAGGATATTTAATTAGTTGCGTAGGAGGCGTCGGTCGGCTGCAGGACGGGGGGAGGAGGTGGTTGGTAGAACAGATTCCATTCTTTCGCTTTCGGAACGCAACGCACCTTCGATGTGTTAATTAATTAAATTCCACTCGATCTCGACACGTCCGATAATTGGCATTTCTGGCTGGCTCTTTGCGTTTACTATACTTTCCATTACCACTTCTAAACATTTTGTTTTCCTTCCTCCTGTTGTTGTCTTCTCTTATTTAATATTTCGAATGAATGAAAGAAGGAATGAAAGAAGTGTAAAGCAGTAACATAATTTTGTATTGATCGGTTGCCGCCTGCGCTTCCTCCTAATTGGGTTTGCGATTAAAGTTGCATCGGGTGTTGCGGCCGTTGTTGCATTACGTAAGGATGATGACTTTGCACACGCCGGTGTGTGGCTTCTATCTGTGTTAGCAGGGTTGGCGGAGGCGACGGGGTGTCTGCCGGGTGTCCATGTAAATGTGTATACATATAGATAGATGGGAGTTGTGCAAGAGGGGGCTTGCTTGGTTGGTTGGTTGCGGTGGGTGCATTGAACTCACTAGGGGATACGGCCTGTCCTACTACTACTAGTAAAGTGGATGGAGTGATGCAGTTTTCAAGGATCGATATAGAACACACTCGGCAGGCATCAAGCCACCCCCACTCAACTGCGCCACAGTTATGTTGTCACCACACCCTTCTTCCTTCCTTCCGTCCTTCCATCCGTCCGTTCTTCCGGCCTCCACTTATTTTCTTTTCCATTTTTTTCTTTCGTTCTTTCTCTTGCCACCTTTTTGACAATACAATGAAATGTACACTAACCCACTACCCGCACATATACCTACTTTCGCAACTTTAAATTTAGGTTTGCAATGCAAATCTACTCTATGTAAATCATAATAACTTGTGTTAATGTAATTTAATTAACATATATAGAGCATGCTTAATCTATTAAAAGGAAGAAGGGTGATGGAAGAGAAGAGAAGGTGTGCAAATGTTGTTACCACCTTGCGTTCGTGGTGTGAGGGGTTAGTAGAATTATGTTGGAAAGTTTGAATATTGCATCGGATTAACTCCCGAAGTTGCGAGCGTTCCCCTGACAAGTTGCGGGGAAGTTTTAAAAGCTTTCTTTCTAGTTATTTTATTATATATTTTTTGCTATTGTTGCAAACTTCCTCTCACGCACGCACGCACTTACTTGTGGTGAGCTGGTTGAAAACGTGCAGTGTCGTTGGCTCACCTAAAACAGGAAAACTGTAGAAAAGTATGTATATATTAAACGAAGAAATGTTCGTTGTTGCTGTTGATTACGAAAGCGTCGCTCGAGTCACGTGACTTCCTTCGCTTCGACAAAGTTTCTTCGTTTAATTCAATTTAATAATTTCTCGTATTGATGAATTAATCGGCATGGGAATCAAGGAAGCGTTCGTCGCGCGGAATAACAATCGTGAATCGCGCGCGCTCCATGGATACGGATGGGTTCGTGGTAGAGGCGTGCTTCGGGTTGCCGTGGGAATAGAAACGCATCGACGAGACACCGACCTAATCTATTCTATTCCATCATCATCATCATACTTATGAATCATCTAATGATTGTTGTTAATTTGGATATTGTTGGTTTCGCAGTGAATGCAGTGGCCACAGAATCGACGCCGATTCCGCTCTCATTGGACATCGTCGATCCGCCGGAAGATGTCGTTCTGGTGCGAGGACACTCGGCGATGCTGCCGTGCGTGGTGCGGTCGCCGAAGAAGACGGGCGGTTTCCGTGTTCGTTGGATGTTGAACGGCACTGTTCTTCCGGACAACGATGGAAAGTGGCGTATCCTGAAGAACGGCACACTTATAGTGCCGAAGATGTCGGGGAAGAAGCTCAGCGGTAACAGTCTCGAGGGCAACTACCGATGCCTGGTGGAGAACGCTGACGGAGCTCTGCTCTCGAAACCGGCCCGCGTCCGATTCGCCTGTAAGTCTCTTCACATCTATCCGCATCTAAACTGGAAATAATTGTTGTTCTCTCCTTTAGTTTTGGGCGAGTTTAAAAGCGAGCCGATAGACGACATCATATTTTTATCGCGACCGGCGATTATTCCATGTAGTATTAACTCGCTCCCTGCGGCCCAGGTCCAATGGGAACGCGACGATTTACCTCTACCTCAAAGCACAAGGTAATCTCTATACATATAGCTGGAGTAACAATCTTCTTCATCATCATCATCATCTACTCTCGTTTCAGATATGTTCCTCTACCTACAGGATCTTTATTGATCAATAATATACATTCCTCAGACGCTGGTACTTACAGGTAAACAATCATCAATATTAAATTGTCATTTAATTCAATGTTTTTCTTTTTCTTCTTTATTTGTCGCAGGTGCAAAGCTTTTAATTCCGTGATGAATAAGACAAAATTGAGCAATTACGGAATTGTGAGCATGGCCAGAGCCGACAATTTGAATTATAATCCTAACGTTGTTATACCTCCTTATATATTACCCATAGATATAGGTTTCAATGTTACTGTGTTAGTTGGAGATGATGTTATATTATATTGCATTGTTGATGGTCGGCCTATGCCTACCGTCCATTGGTTAAATGGTAAGAAAAATTAACCACTACCACTTTCACCACCACTACCACTACTACTCCTATTTCTTTGCAGATATGAAAATCGTTATTGGTAATTCTAGTTTACTTGTGATAAAAAACGTTACTGTGAACGCAACCGGAACCTACACTTGCTCCCTCTCCAACGAAGTTGGACAGACCAAGCAGGTATTTCTATATTGGATTTTCCTTATTATTCAAAGTTCAAAGCTTATTGTTTTTTTCTTCTTCTTTTTTCCTTTCTTTGTCGAATGAAGCAATACTACGTGTCGGTCCAGAAGTTGCCCAAATTCAAAGACAACCCCGTCTCGCGGGTCTATCCCTCCGGCAAAACCATTCGTCTAGATTGCATGGCCTCGGGTGTGCCGGAACCAACGATTGTCTGGTACAAGAACGGAAAACCCTTCACGCAGAATTCCATCTATGGGCGCGCACATCAGCTGCACACGGGCCTAATCATCAGCTACTCGATCGCCTCGGACGCAGGTAAACTTTTCACATCTTCACATCTCATTTCAGTTATCATTATCAATAATATACATGTTCATGTTTTAGGTTTTTATCAGTGCGTGGCGAAGAACTCTGCCGGAAGTGTGTGGGCTTCTGCTCTGGTCAAGTTGAATTCATCTTCGAACAGCCCGAAAGCCCCTACAAACGTGAGCTGCCAATCATACAACGATACCAGCGTCTGTCTGCGATGGAACAGTGTGCCGGACGCTCAAGCGTACAGTATCTTGGCCTACCATGCAGGTATGAATTTCTATCAATTGTGCAATTATCATTATTATTATTATATTGTTGTTAATTTCTTCAGGTTCACGTTTGAAGGATTACGTGACAAATGAAACGTACAAGCTCGCCAATGGCCTACTGCCCAATACCAACTACACATTCTCAATTCAAACGTATTCGAGAGCTGCCAGCAACGAGTACGTTCAAGTGCAGTGCGATACCGGTCGAATAGGTGAGCGAAATCTGAGGGTGCGAAAGGTGGGCGATTACTCGGTCGCTCTGAGCTGGTTGGAAGTTGGAAGCGATCGCATCGTGTGCGGAAGCGATGTACCGATCGTTTACAAAGTGCAGTGGAGAAAGGTCAACCAGACTTCGATCAATATGCAAGAGGTCTCGGGCCTAACGAAGATCATCAGAGGTACAGTAGAGATTGATGAGATGTTTGATCTATGAGAATTCATTGCTTACTGATTGGTTGCAGGCGTGCAGGAGAGCGTACCCTACGAGTATCGGGTGCAATCGACGAATACGATGAGCGAAAAAGATGTTTGGGTGGAGTTCGAGTTGGATCCGCTCGAGAACGTCACCAGGTTGAGGGAATTCGAGCCGGGCGATTACAACGACTCGATGAGCGTACCGCTGGTGCCAGATACGGTGGAAGCGATGCCCACCACACCGTACAGTATTAACATCACGTGGACGGACTCGAACGAAGTCGAAATCACGTATGTGCTGTGCTACACGGCCGTACGAGATAATCGAGACTGCGACCAATCGAGACTCGTAGAGAGTGTACATAAATGGACGGAGGTACAGAATCTGAAACCAAACACCCAGTACGAGTTTCGCGTGAGGGCGTACAATGCTGGAACCTACAGCCCCTACTCGTACGCCGTTCAGGTGGTCACTCCCTCGGACGGTTAGTTTATTCTCGCTCACATGCACACACTCGCTCGCAAAGTGAATAATAATGATCGGTTTTAATTACTTGCAGTTCCAACGGCCGTGCTAGACTTGAAATACAGAATAGTGAACTCGACTGCGGCCTGCGTTAGATGGGATCCTCCGATGTACGAGAACGGAAGGCTCACCGAGTATTTGATCAAGTACTCGCCGAACAACAGTTGGCCGCTGGAGAGGTGGTTTGAGCGCACATTGGATGTTTCAAATTTGGGACCGGTAAGATTTTCCAAGAGAACAACAACAACAACAACAAATTGGAATTAATCTCATGTTTTTAAGGGATGCTGGGGAACGCATTCGGTTTCGATAGTGTTGACCGATTTGGATGAGGAAAAGCAGTATATGCTGATCGTGGTGGCTCTGAACGATGCCGGCATAGGTAGTCCTACGATTCCCATCACCGTCAGCACCAAATACCATTTGCTGTTGGACGATTTGCTGCCCACGAACAACGCGTCTCCCAAAACTGCCAACTACAATCATCGCATGAGTACGAACCGCATCATCATCATCATCACCAACTTGATTAATTTGTTCTAACTGCTCTCGTACTCGATTCAGTTTTAGGCATACTCATCGGAGTCGTACTGTCTGCGTTGATCCTCTTTCTGGTCATCAATATCAAGTGCTTCAGGCGGACCTACTTCAAGGGCCGACGGTTGTCTAGGAACAACGGAGCTGCTTCTTCCGACGCCAGCAATCAACAACAAGAAGTGCGCGTCCCGACGACCACCGACGTGAACATTATTGCCGGTAACGAATACGAAATGCAGCAGCTAGTCAGCCCCGTCTCTGAAACCACTCACATTCCGCCCTTGCAACCGGCCGTCTACCTGGACACGAAGGTACAAGTAGAACGATAATTGTAGCCGCCTCCGATCTCGTTTTTCTACGGTTTACATTTGCAGGGTCCGGCCAAATATCCGAACAACCGAAAGCAGGTAGCCAACGGGAGGAAGCTGCTTTTCAACAACGGCGTCAACGCCGCCCAGCTACGCATCACCGAGAATCCACAAGTAAGTAATTCGTATTTCAACATAATCAATCATAATTCAATCAAATTGCTTGCAGTACTTTGCGAATAAGAAAGTTGTCGGAGATGATTCGACGAACAACCGTCTTCTGCACCACGAGGAGTACGAGGAGGAGGATTCCAATTCGAACCTGCAAAAGTTCAGCCTGAGCAAAATTCGGAACGCAACGGGTAACAACGATTTGCACAATTCCTCCTTAGACTCTGACATGGACCTGACGCAGACCACGCACCTGGACGACTCGAGGATGTCGCGATTATCGCCCGCCCTTGGTCCTAACGGTTGACCAATAGAAAGCACGCGCGCGC